TGTGTGTGTGTGTGTGTGTGTGTGTGTGTGTGTGTGTGTAGAAAACTTCAGATGCAAAAACCTCAAAGTCCGTCTGAGGTTTTCCTTTTTAAATGAGCATTTTTATCAGGCTCCTATGAAAATAACATTGGACATTTTTGAAAACAAGACATTCAATAACTGACTAATAACCTTTTCTTTGCCATTAAAGTGAAATTACTGAACCTAAACATATGAGCCTGATAAAATGCTAATTTAAAAGAAAAAAAATCTTAGACGGACTTAGAGGGTTTTGCATCTGAAGTCTATATATATATTAGCACAAGTATATAATTAATATACCCTAAATGCATGGATTAGGTGCATTTTTATCTTAAATTTAGAAAAAAAGTAAATGTGTAAGTACAGTACACTACTGTTTGTTTGTTTGTTTGTTTAACCAAGGCTGCATTTACAGTGCACAGCATAAATGAATACATTTAGTTTTATTTAGTAACTTTCAGGAGGGTGTACTCATTTTTGCAACAACATTTTATCACTTTGATATGAAAATGGTATTTTCTTGAATAATTTGAACATTCTTCTTTGGTAACTGATCAAGCAGACTTGCTGGAATATTATATCTCTAAAACATCATAACATTCTAAGCAAAGAGTAATTTCTGAATTTGTTAAGTTTCAGAGGGGGTGTACTCATTTATGCTGTGCACTGTATTTGATCAAAACTACAGTAAAACAGTAACATTGTAAAATATTATTACAATTGAAAATAACTGCTTTCCATTTGTCTCCTTGCTGAATAAAAGGATGAATTCCTTTCCAAAAAAACCAAACAAACAAACAAAAAAATGAAAAAGAACATTTTCCGGTTGTGTAAATGTGTGCATTCGCACTCTCAGTAAATGAGAATCAGAACTCTTTCCTACGAGAAAAGGAGTTGACACATGGATTATACCATTTCCAGATTGCCTGGAAACGTTATTAACTGGACCAAAGGGATTCCCTGTGTTGTTTTCCAGTTTGAGTTTATTTTCCTAGTCAGAATCCCCACTTGCACTTCTTTTTGAATCACAACATTGACTAATATAAGGCTTCATCCCAGTCATTAAATAACTTTTTTGCCTCTCTTCCAATTGTAAAACATCCATTTCTGTTTGAAAGTTTCCTAGTTTGCCTTTTTGTTACATTCTTGTTAAGTTACAGCCAAGTTATAGTTTCCATTCATGAGGCCTTATGTTTCTACACGAATCCTTTCCCCTTCTCAGCTTATTAACTTCATCTGTCAACTCCTCAAGGAGCTCAAAAGGTCATACTTATGTTCCTTGTGAACAGACGGAGCCCATTTCGTTGTTCACTGGGAAAGCTTATATTTCCGATTTACAAGCTCACTGCAGGAGGCTACCAGAAACTAAATTTTTCCCACATCCAGGTGTCTTACAGAGGAGTTAGAAGTCATGGCTGATATTATCCCTAGTCCTGCCCTCAGTGATTTCAGTAAATGGAGACTTTCTTCCAGCTGAACTGAAGAAAACCCTTGGGAATGACTTGGGTGAAAGTTAAAGGGAGATTCTTGTCGAGTTAGGGTCACATGGAAAATTTGAAGTTCAGGTTTCCTCCGATGCTTTCGTTGCCTTTATGACCTGCAGAGCGCTCTCTTAAACCCAGAGGAGACATTAAATTAAAGCCAGATTGCTCCAGTAATGAGCGGGAGCAGCAGGCAGCTATTCCATACAATCTGCATCAAGGGCTGCACTCGGAGAAAGTTCCTTCCAGAGGTTTGGGTCAATTTCACTTCTGATCAGGCCAATTTGCAGGAGTGTAGCATGCTCTAGTTCTTGCCAACATGCAGGAGCAGCCCAGATGGCTGTGAAGAAAAGAACAGGACAGTCCAAACAAGTCACAACGCAGAATCCGTGTGACTCTGTTGTGGTGGGAGGAACAATTTTCCTCTCTGACTGAGCTGCGATCCTGTCAGTGCCACTGACGTCAAGCTGAATCTATAGTGACCCCACTGTGTACCACTGCAGCGTTTATTCTGCGGGGACGTGACAAGACCTCCCCAAGGCCTTTTCAAATCACATGACTTCAGTGTCTGCCAATTGTCCATCAGATGACGGTGCTCGAATATATTGCATTTCTCCTAGATAGATTAGGTGCCTAGAACATGGCTTCATTTCATACAGCTTCTTTTTGATGAACCGAAATCTTTTAGTCTATACTGTTTTCAGCTGATGAGTGAACAAAACTTCACTAAACATTGTAGTGTGCATCCCATCCTATAATCACAATATAAGCTTTGTGCTTTGTTACTTTTAATGTACAATGTACAATTTAAATGTATACAACTTATAAGTATATATATATATATATATATATATATATATACACACAGTATATATTATACTGTAATATGGTCAAAGGTCTTCCTTCAGTTTTCTGCAACTGGACCACTGGACCAAATATTAAATATTACTGTTGTATAATGATTTTAATATTCAGGATTATTATTATTTTTATTATTTTACTATACATTATATAATATATTACTATACTATACAAGTACAAAATGTAAAAATTAGCAAATAATCATAAATGATCATATCAAAGATCAAGCTGCACGCAATTGTAATACTTGTCAAAATAGCTAATATGTTTTTTTAGCTAAAACTTGCAGCCCTTTTTCATGACAGCTGAAATTTACATTCTGAGATATAAATTAGATTGCGTTTTTGATATATTTCTGCAGGAGAGCAATTTTCCTTTTACTGATCTCAAAGGAAATGTTCTTAAAATTGATGAAAGTGAATCAGCTAAATATCCTGCTGACCTGTTTTAATCTGGTTTTCAAGCTAATGGAAAAATAGCTTGTTTCTGGTGGCATGTTGGTAGACTGTGTGTATAAGTGTGTTTGGGTCATGAGGGATCAGGGCAATGTGAGAATATCAGTGGGTCAAAGCAAAGTGATTGTTAAATCATAAATGCACACAGGTGTTTCTGCTGTACTATAGACCTTTTTAGTGCCAACGTCACAATTACATCACAGCATGAGCTGGAGGCAAAACAAAGGGATAACTGGAGGCAGCTATATACAAACCAGCACAGAGTCGGCTACATAAGGAGCTTAAAATGTCATCTGGTTGTGTTGTTGAGTGTCAGAATCAAAGGAGTACAGGCTCCAATTTGAAATTTTATTGCATACCTGCTGCCATTGCCAGACAAAAAACCGACAACAGCTGTGGTTAAAAGCAATAAAACGAGCAGACTGGACTGAAACGATCATCAAAAATGCTCACGTTTGCAGCGCACACTTCATATCAGTTAAGGTTAAATAAACTATTGTCTTTTGTTGGTATGGATTATGGTTTGGTTACGAGTCTAAAGATTTTTCATGCATGCCCACCTAATCAGAAATTGGGAAACAAGTTAACTAACGACCAGAGGCTAAACATAAAGGAAACCATTTCTGTCGTCTCACTTTCTACAGTTGCCATAAGTGCAATTGAGAGAGGGAACAGTGAAGGCAAATGTTATATGCCAGGTGTGTGTTCAAGTAGTTGCATTTGCTTACAATTGCCACTGTGAATACATACAGTAGTTAACTTCTAGGCATCTAAAGATTTATATGCCCTCAGTTTCTATTTACTATACACGCTCGGTTTCTCTATCTGGTAGGTGTGTCAGGCCACTCCTGTCAGATTGTCCATTGAGTGAGTGTGTCGAGTCAGCCAATCTGGTTCCTTCCATTAAAGTTAAAATTTTCAAATAACAATCACAATCCCGGACAGTGAGTGACATTACATATTCAGTTAAAAAACAAGCAAACAAGACTTGCTAACTAGCGTTAGTGAAGCAGTCAGGGGAATCTTTCTGCCTCCACCTAAGCTCCGCCCATAAAAAAAAGGTCATAATGTTTACTAACTGAAAAGGAGGGGTCAATGAAAATTTTATCTTTTTACCTGCATCTTTTCAAATCTGAAAGTTGAAGAGACCAAA